CATATACGTCCCGAGACGAAGCAATATCTCACGACTTAATACTTGTTCGTTTAAACAAAGCGATTCCAAATATTTTCGCAGCGCTATCGTCTGTTTTGGCTCTGGTTCAGGTACACCAGGAACTGGACGTACGTAACTTTCTTGTTTGTACTTACTGGACGTCTTTAGAATCGACTTTATACGTATTATTTTCTTTTTTAATTGATTGCTAACGAAGGGCAGGCAAAATACACCATCGCTAGCAAAGCGCACGCGGAAGCCGCAGCTATGTCCACTTACGCCCTGGCTTACGCGGTCTGGAATTACAGCTGGTTGTCCCGTAGAAACAATAACGTTCGTGACGACTTCATTTTTATTATCTTTAGTACGAGAATAGCATATTCCACTTCTTAATAATATGTGTTTTCTATTGTTTCTGCGTCCATTTACGCTTCGTGGAATTATGTTTTTTGCAGTAACTTTGGTCATAGCGAAAAAAACAGCGAAAATAATGTATAAAGTGGTAAAGAAAAAAATGGGCTTATAAAAAAGGAAAGAGAGTTATTGGCAAAAAAAATAAAAATGAAAATGAAAGATTCAAATAATTTATACTTTTCCAGATGCGCGTATCACCCTAATTTTTTTAGGGGTAACCCCACTAAATTGGCACATCTTTGATTGGTTAATATGAAATATCTTGTAATACACTAAAATTTGATCTATTTCGTAGTTAATAATAACGATAATAAGTAATAACGTAAATAAATTTACGCGCACTTCTTCTACTTAGCTAGTTTAAATGTCTACTTACCCTGCCTCTAACATTATTGTATTTAAACAAAATGATACTCAATATAGTACTTATACAATTATTAAAGAAGGATATTATCCTCAAAATGATATACTTTACACTTCTTCTTTTATTAAAATATTATGATTATTTAAATATCGATTATAATTTTAATAGTTTATCACTTCTTTTTTTTATAAACATGAGAAACAAGGGTTATAAAAGCTGTAGATATTTATATAATTTGTATAATTCATATTCATTATTAAGATTTTTCTATTTATTCTTGATCACGTGATGCGTAGGAACGTTATTGGTAAAAGTTGAGGTCCACCATAAGTCCATAAAAACTGGAGATCACGATTTTTGTTCACAACTACCACAATAGGACAAATCTATTCTCCAACTTTAGAAACCTACACTGACTAATATACATCATACCCTGAATCAACTACAAAATCAACAAAATCAATGAAAATAAAAAAATCATTGAATGATACAAAAACCAAAAAACAATCAAATTATTGAAACGGACATTAGTTTATGCGAAAATGATAATCTAATCATAATAAAGTATTTACCTATTAAAATAATTATAGTAATATTAAGTAAATTAAATATTATTTAAAACTACAGTATAAATAGAATCAATATCTGTATTCAATCATTTTATACCTTAAATTTGATATAAAAAGTTCTATATTTTGCAGCATAATCTTAACGATCTATCATTGTTAATTCGGGGTTAAATTTGCCGATTTTGTGCTAGAATACAATCTTCAAAAAAGGATGATATTTTCATAGACGACATATTAACTAGTATAAGTAAAAGTTATATGATATACCGAAAAAAAAAAAGAATTTGCAAAAAAAAATTATACGTTCATATGCAAAATAATGAGTTTACTATGTACGCGCGTCAGATTTACACCTTAAAATATAGGAAATTTCATTATTTTATTTCGCTATATTGCGTTATTTACATTATAAACACATAATTTTTAGCTTTCAAAGTTGTTTTTAAAGACTTTTTTGAAATATTTTTATTATTAAAACCAAGTGAAAGTTTATGGTACTTCTGTTTGTGAAATGGATGGAAATCTATTCCGCGCGTGAGATGTGAAAAACGCATTTTTTTATTATCGCTATTATCCCCGAATTTAGACGAACTGGATTGAACTGATGTCGTGCCAAATGATAAGAAATGAGCGTCAGTCACAACACATCTTGCCATCTTCTTGACATATTTAGGATCCCGAACAAGTATCATTGAACCAATAGTAACCAATTTGTTCAAAGATTGATTATAAATCGTTCTTTAAAAGTATTTGTTGCTATAAAAGCTGGAATTCAATAATGGCAGTATGGATTCAAATGATCAAGCTGTGAAGTAATCTATAATAAGTTTAAAATATAATTTAGTAATTAGGGCAAATATTGATTGCGGATTTTATCTTAATAATAGATAGTAGTAATTCAATAAATTCTTGCCGATGTTTCATACAGCGTATAGAATTATAGGCGGTATAAATTTTAATATGAG